ATCCCAGGCTCGTCGACCTTGACTCGTCGACATGCGCTTTGTTGTTTTCCCGTAAACACCAGCGTATGCTACTGCACGTGCAAAAATGTGGCGCACGTGAAAACAGCTTCAGACTGTGAAGCAACGCAAAAATTATCTTAAGATACACTCTGCTTTGGTTAAATTCATTGTTATCTTCTTTTTTTGTTTCGTCGAATGAAAGGATTTTCTACTCTTTGGTACCCCTCATGTCACGTTGAAGAGTCTACTTTAGTCAGCGGGTTCAGCATGCGAAGAAGTGTAACCTTGAATGACCGCTGATGTTTTGAAACTAACCAATCACAAACTAGCTTTTAACAGGACAACTTTTCTCTTCGCGAGCCCACTAGAGCAATAAAATCTTGTCAGATAAAAAAAGATACGGCCAAAGAAGAACTATTTTTGAAAGATTTATCTTACACCTCCTCTTGTATAGTGTTGGTGGTAGCAGAACAAAAGTTTTAAATGCGTCGCAAATGGTTGAATAAATTGAATTATCGAATGAATGTGTAATTAAATTCTCCTAACCCGCCCACCAGGACTTCCGGTTTATGACCTTCACTGCACTTTAGAGTCATCCAGAAGTCATTCAAACATGCGATAAATAGATCTGCGCACTTGGATGTTTTATTTAGATGAGAGAAGAGCCCCGAAAGCCCAGTCACAACTGCATAGCATTTTGCCATTTGAACCCAGAATTCTGGCAATTTTCAACAGGTATGATGTTTCGCACCGGCTGTGGTTCTTATTTGTGTTTAGCCCTCAAAATGCCCTACCAGCGATTTAACCACCAATTTTAACCACCGAATTGCAAATCTTACGTAAGGCAAAATTAAGAAGCATAGGCTTCGTAGCTGACAAAAAATCTTTTTAGGTAGCTATTTAAGGATTTTTTAATGCATAGGCGGAAGAGTTCACAAATGGCCATGGTCGACACTCTATTTTGTTAAAATGGACCTGTTCATATTTTTTTCTTCTTTTCTTTCTATTTTTACAGATAAACGTACGTAATTAATATTGTAGAGATGAGAGAAACTAGTTGCACAATTAATTTTATTCAAAATCGCAGTGAAAACTGTATACAGTAGGAAATTGTGCACCCAAAACAGTTAAATTATTTACGAACCTAACCTACACTTTCAAGTGGCTTGTTTTCGTAGTGGTATTTATATCACCAAGTTGGGTTTTCCCCAGTTGGTTAAATAGACTAGTGAACAAAACGATCAACATTTCACCTTGTACTATGTTTAATTTCATTAAAGAGTGAAAAAATGGCGCCAAGAAGTGAGACAGTAACACAGATAGAACCCGTCAACTCAGCAGAAAAGAAGTCTTCCGAAAGTACTCAAAAACGCCCAGCACCGCAAATCGTCTGGAAGAATGTTTATTTCATGGCGGTACTACATCTGCTGGCATTATACGGCATTTATCTTCTACCCGGTGCAAATCCGCGGACTTGGTTATGGACTTGGTTGTGTCATTTCCTTGGAGGGCTCGGTGTAACTTGTGGAGTACATAGACTTTGGTCTCACCGATCTTACAAGGCTACGTGGCCTCTACGACTATAAAAATACGGACAGACGGAAAAGAATGAATAAGGAAATAAGGAAAGAACATGAGTAATAAGGAAAAAAAATAGCACCAAAACAAGCAAAACAACACTAGAAAAAAGAGAAAAAAAAACTAGTGAGGACAAAAAAGGACTGGTTAAAACCGAAAAGGACCAGTAAGGACGGAAAAGGACTAGTAAGAACAGAAAAGGACCAGTAAGGGCATAAAAGGACTGGTTAGGACAGAAAATGACTAGTTAGGACATAAAAGGACAAGTTAGGACGGAAAAGGACTGGTTAGGACATAAGAGGACTAATTAGGACGGAAAAAGGACAAGTAAGGACATAAAAGGACTAATGAGGACATAAAAGGACTAGTAAGGACAGAAAGGGACTAGTTAGGACGGAAGAGGACGAATAAGTACATAAAAGGACAGAAAGGACAAGTGAGGAGTAGAAAGTACAGAAAAGAGGAGTTTTGAGAAACGAGTACTACTTACAAGACATTGAACACAGTGTTTATTTAATTTATGTTGCACGACTATATGGCGTGCTACCATGTAGTACTTGCCCGGTAACCGGTCAAGGTTTTCAAAACACTAAATGGCCGGCAGTCCTATAGTCTGCTACACAGCCGTTTTTAGTGTCGTCACGCAACGCTCCTGTTAGTGGGGAGGAACGTTGCGTGACGACACTAAAAACGGCTGTGTAGCAGACTAGCATCCTATATTCTCAGTAAATTTCACAAAATCGAAAGTTTCCAGCTAATCTAAACTATCATATGTCGATTAAGACAGGTCAAGCGATCCTGAAATGCTTTATGGATCTCAAGTCTAGCGTTTGGTTTACGCTGGGCTCAGAAGACGAAACCGTGTTTTGTGACACTGAAAACTTTTTTTCAGCTCGACTACCTGCCGGTCCGGGCTGCCGGTCAAGCTTTTCAAAACACTAAATGGCCGGCAGTCCCATATTCTCAGTAAATTTCACAAATCGAAAAAATTCAGCCGTTCTGAACCATCATAAGTCGTGATCCAGATCAAAGTCTCCACGCGTTAGTTCCCTCCTGGAGCTGAAATATAGTTCAACATTATCTTGTCGACGTTATGATGAAACAAGCTCAGCTCCAGAAGGGAACTAACGCGTGGCCTGAACGCGTGGAGACTTTTCCCGCCGGTTTTCCGCGGAGGCCGCATGAAAGGTCAAGATGTTATGACGTCAAACGTCGCCTGTCACGCCATGCTTTGGACAGAAAATAGTAACGAACGTACAAAGACTCGAGACCAACAAAAACATGATATAGAAATCCCACAAAACCGGCTGGTTTTGATCAGGATCACGAGTTATGATAGTTTAGAAGGGCTGATTTTTTTCGATTTGTGAAATTTGCTGAGAATATGGGACTGCCGGCTATTTAGTGTTTTGAAAACCTTGACCGGCAGTCGAGCTGAAGTTCTAAGTGTCACAAAACACGGTTTCGTTTTCTGAGCCCAGCGTAAACCGAACACTAGACTTGAAAGCTATAAAGCATTTCAGGATCGCTTGACTTGTCTTAATCGACATATGATAGTTTAGATTAGCTAGAATCTTTCGATTCTGTGAAATTTACTGAGAATATAGGACTGCCGGTCATTTAGTATTTTTGAAAACCTTGACCGGTTACCGGCCATATAGCCACAGCGAAAAACAAACATGAATATTTTGTGAAATTCACGGAATATGGGACTGCCGGTCATTTAGTGTTTGTAACACCTTGACCGGTTACCGGCCATATAGCCACAGCGTTTCTGAAAACCTTAACCGACAGTTGAGCAGAAAAAAGTTCTAAGTGTCACAAAACATGGTTTCGTCTTCTGAGCCCAGCGTGAACCAAACGCTATTTTTGAGATCTATAAAGCATTTTAGGATCGCTTGAATTTTCTTAATCGACGTATGATAGTTTAGATTAGCTGGATTTGAATTTGTGAAGTTTACTGAAAAGACTAGTCTGCCGCGCTTCATTTTATTCAAATGTGGCAACATTTGAAGCGCGCGCTGGAAGAGTTCGCTCAAATAAAATTGAAGTCAATGTTTATGCCGCGCGACTGTAGACTTTTGCCGGTTATTTAGTATTATTTTATATAGCCACAGCGTTTATAAGCCATCGATCCCAGGCTCGTCGACCTTGACTCGTCGACATGCGCTTTGTTGTTTTCCCGTAAACACCAGCGTATGCTACTGCACGTGCAAAAATGTGGCGCACGTGAAAACAGCTTCAGACTGTGAAGCAACGCAAAAATTATCTTAAGATACACTCTGCTTTGGTTAAATTCATTGTTATCTTCTTTTTTTGTTTCGTCGAATGAAAGGATTTTCTACTCTTTGGTACCCCTCATGTCACGTTGAAGAGTCTACTTTACTCAGCGGGTTCAGCATGCGAAGAAGTGTAACCTTGAATGACCGCTGATGTTTTGAAACTAACCAATCACAAACTAGCTTTTAACAGGACAACTTTTCTCTTCGCGAGCCCACTAGAGCAATAAAATCTTGTCAGATAAAAAAAGATACGGCCAAAGAAGAACTATTTTTGAAAGATTTATCTTACACCTCCTCTTGTATAGTGTTGGTGGTAGCAGAACAAAAGTTTTAAATGCGTCGCAAATGGTTGAATAAATTGAATTATCGAATGAATGTGTAATTAAATTCTCCTAACCCGCCCACCAGGACTTCCGGTTTATGACCTTCACTGCACTTTAGAGTCATCCAGAAGTCATTCAAACATGCGATAAATAGATCTGCGCACTTGGATGTTTTATTTAGATGAGAGAAGAGCCCCGAAAGCCCAGTCACAACTGCATAGCATTTTGCCATTTGAACGCAGAATTCTGGCAATTTTCAACAGGTATGATGTTTCGCACCGGCTGTGGTTTTTATTTGTGTTTAGCCCTCAAAATGCCCTACCAGCGATTTAACCACCAATTTTAACCACCGAATTGCAAATCTTACGTAAGGCAAAATTAAGAAGCATAGGCTTCGTAGCTGACAAAAAATCTTTTTAGGTAGCTATTTAAGGATTTTTTAATGCATAGGCGGAAGAGTTCACAAATGGCCATGGTCGACACTCTATTTTGTTAAAATGGACCTGTTCATATTTTTTTCTTCTTTTCTTTCTATTTTTACAGATAAACGTACGTAATTAATATTGTAGAGATGAGAGAAACTAGTTGCACAATTAATTTTATTCAAAATCGCAGTGAAAACTGTATACAGTAGGAAATTGTGCACCCAAAACAGTTAAATTATTTACGAACCTAACCTACACTTTCAAGTGGCTTGTTTTCGTAGTGGTATTTATATCACCAAGTTGGGTTTTCCCCAGTTGGTTAAATAGACTAGTGAACAAAACGATCAACATTTCACCTTGTACTATGTTTAATTTCATTAAAGAGTGAAAAAATGGCGCCAAGAAGTGAGACAGTAACACAGATAGAACCCGTCAACTCAGCAGAAAAGAAGTCTTCCGAAAGTACTCAAAAACGCCCAGCACCGCAAATCGTCTGGAAGAATGTTTATTTCATGGCGGTACTACATCTGCTGGCATTATACGGCATTTATCTTCTACCCGGTGCAAATCCGCGGACTTGGTTATGGACTTGGTTGTGTCATTTCCTTGGAGGGCTCGGTGTAACTTGTGGAGTACATAGACTTTGGTCTCACCGATCTTACAAGGCTACGTGGCCTCTACGACTCGCGCTCATGTTCATGAATTGTGTCGCCGGGCAAAATGACATTTTTGAGTGGGCGAGAGACCATCGGGTTCATCACAAGTGTTCTGAATCCGACGGAGACCCGCACAACGCGAAAAGAGGATTTTTTTTCGCACATATTGGATGGTTAATGGTCAAAAAGCACCCAGATGTGATAAAGAAAGGGCAGCAGTTGGATGTTAGCGATTTGTATGAAGACAAAATCGTTATGTTTCAGAGGAGGTAGTAAGACCAATTTAAATGTGTTTTAAGAGCTTAATTATTTATGTTGTTAGTATATCCACCTGCTGTTGATAACAACTACCCACCCTTCTCCCTGCAAGGTTAAAAATATAATTGGCAGAAGAACAAGAGCGTCAGGAAAACTAAGGGGAGCTTTAAGTGTTTCTATGCACTATTATATTATAAGTCCTATTACGTTACATAAACTTTTTCACTGTTGTGTAAAAGTACCCCTCCTCATGTCTAGGAGCAGATAGTGACATTTAAGGGGCTGGTCATTTATTACCTGTTGTGGGGGTGGTGGGTAGGGGTCATTTGTGAGAAAACTTAGAAGATTTTCAAACCGACCCCCAATTTATCCTAGCTTTTTAAAAATGACCCCCCATAAATTTTAAAATAATGTGAAAGTGACCACCCATCAGACTGTGGTGGAAACTACAAATATTCTGTTACAAATCATGCCAAAGTTCACCACATACGTTATCTATAGAACGGTGTTTACTACTTACAGCTGCTGCATTCAATTTCAATTCATGCTCGTTACTGCTTTGAGCTACTTTCATGAAATTGATTATGACCCCCAGGTAATACTCCCTTATCAGAAAATGGCCCTGCCCCCCCCCCCCCCCCAAAAAAAAACCACCAAAAAAATAAAAAACAAACCCCCACACAACAACCACCACCCCCCCACCCCAGAAAAACCAGCACCACCGCAAGGGAAAGGAGAACGGAAGCGCACCCGGGGGGGGCAGAGAGAGGAACACAGGGGGAGCGGGGGCGAGAAAAANCGGCCCCGCCTCACAGGTAAAAAGTGACCAGCCCCTGAAGGTTTATGTTGGTGTTGATTTAACATGAGGCTTTTGTTGTTGCTTGAGATAGCTAAGTTGAAAGGAGTACCAAAAAAAGTCCTAACAAATAACTTAAAGGAAGATTGTTAGATTTACTAAATGTTTTTCTTTACCTTATTCCAGGCACTACAAACCTCTACAGGCTCTTTTTAATGTCATACTCCCGACTGCAATTCCATGGTACTTCTGGAATGAAAACCTTTTAACTGCATTTTTTATTTGTTATGCATTTCGCTATGCAGTTACCCTTAATGCAACTTGGTGTGTTAACAGCCTGGCTCATTTCTGGGGATCAAAGCCCTATGACCACAACATCAACCCTGCAGAGAACCTCACTGTTGTCCTGGCAACTGGGGGTGAAGGATTCCACAACTTTCATCATACCTTCCCACAGGACTATGCAACAAGTGAATATGGCTCACCATGGAATCCTTCTAAATGGTTTATTGATGGATGTGCAATGCTTGGTTTAGCATATGATTTAAAAACTGCTTCCAAGGACTCTATCTTAAAAAGGAGAATGCGGACTGGAGACTTGCGTCAGCTGAACAATCATAACAACTAAATTCCTTAAAGTAAAGAATACCTGTCTTAATTAAACTCAATCTAACCCTGCTGCTGCATTGATTGGCACCATCAGGGAGTGTAGCAGTGCAGAATGGTTAAAAAGTCATGGGTCTTAGAAAAGTTAGATCCATTATCTGTCTTTATTTTTTGTTGATTTTTTGTATGTTTCTTTTCATTTTGGGAGTCGTGATAATTTTTTCCATAAGTCTAGTCTTACATTTTTAAAACTCAGGTCTAAGCATCCTGGTGAGTCTTGAGTTTTGAATTTTACCTTTCATTGTCCCTAATCACGAGCCAAATCCAGTTTCATTGGACATGTCAAATACTGCACACACAGGAGCTAAGGGAACAATTTACTGGCATATTGGTTTGTAGAATCTCCTGCAAGGAAGAATTATGTTTCATGGAAATATTAAAACTGTTCTTTCATCAGAATGATTTTGTCACTTTATAACACTCACACTGCTAAGTTAGATCACAACAAAAAAAATGAGTTTATTCAAGACAATTTGATTGATCGTAGAATGCTGCAAAACAAATTGTAGCATCCATTCCAAATTTCATGCAATGTCTATTTAATTCTTGAGATTAATAGTTAGAAAGGGTGCACTGTGTAAATGATATGCTTTAAAGAATGTATCATCTAATTACAAAAAGGGTAATATATTATTGTGGAAAACTTATGCTAAAAAAGGCAAAAATAGTAGTTTTTAATAAATTCGTGTAAAATGTAAGTCGCCAGTCTTTGCTTTTGAAAAAATTATGTACTAGATATTTATTATTGGATTGATCCAAATAATTGCTGTATTTTTATTCTTGGTTTTTAGAGGCTTTATTTAAAAATTGTTGGGTTAAATTGGTTCAACCAAGTCGAAATGTTCTCAGTGCAGTAGTTAAGAGCGGGATAACCAGAGCAGCAGACAGCAAAGGCTTAAACTTGAGTGGTTTTAATTTAATTATATAATATTATTGTTAAACTTAAGTGTTGAGAAGGTGGTAATATTCCACTGTAAGCTGCAAATTGCTGCCTGTCGGCCCATTTTGACTGGGCTGAGGTTGAACCCATAGTGCTTTTGCTTAAGGCAAAAATTGTGTGAAATAGTTCAATTTATACACAAAAAGAAAATGTTTATACTTTTCTGGTGTAAAAATATTGTTTACTTGTACATTTTATAATATAAAATGCAATTTTGATTAATGCATGCTGGAAATATTTCTGAAATAAAGTGTTACAGGGCTACGTGTACATTAGGCAGACCCCCTACTAAACAGACACTCAGTACTAGACAGACCGTAAGCATCATGTTTCCTTCCAGACATAAGCGATAGTCCCATGGGAGTTGTTAGCAGTAGCATGTTCAACTCTGGAAGTAAATGGGGGCAGGGGGGGGGGGGGGTTCGGGGAGGGCCCTGGCCTCAAAATTATTTTTTTTTGGCCCGGCAACCCCCCCCCCTGCGATCTGGCACCCACTGGTTGGCATAATTTCACACTGTTTTGTTGAAAACTCCCCTACATGATGGTGTAGCCGTAGGGGTCAGAAGTTTATTACCCCC